GAAGGAATCCCACTGGAGCATTGCAGCACACCCAAATACCTGGGAGTTACCCTGGACCATGCTCTGACTTATAAGAAGCACTAACTGAATATCAAGCAAAAAGTGGATAGTAGAAATAATATCATACGAAAGCTGACTGACACAACTTGGGGATCACAGCCAGACAGAGTGAAGATATCTGCTCTGGCACCTTCTGCAGCTGAATCTGCATGCCCAATGTGGAATACATTTCACCACATTAAAATAGTGGATGTGGCTCTTAATGAGATATGCCGCATTATCACAGGATAACTATGCCCTATACCACTGGAGAAATTATACTGTTTAGCCAGTATTGCATCAGCTGACATCCGTCAGGAAGTAGCAGCCTGTAATGATAGGACCAAGGCATTGACATCTCTGACCTATCCTCTATTCGAGTATCAGCCAGCAAGCCAACACCTTAAATCAATAAACGGCTTCCTAAGATCTACAGAGATACTCGCAGGAATACCACTGCAAGCGAGAGTCCAAAGGTGGCAGGGAAAAACCCGGAATCGCAATCAGTGGCTGATACCAAATGAGAAACTCCCTCCTGGGCACACAGAAGATTGGATGACTTGGAAGGCACGAGATGCAGAGCTAACCTTAAAAAATGGGACTACAAAGTGGAGTCCACGACATGCGTGTGTGGAGAAGAGCAAACCACAGACCACCTACTACAATGCAGCCTGAACCTTGCCACATGCACAGTGGAGGACCTTCTTATAGCGACACCAGAGACAATCCAAGTAGTGAGCTTCTAGTCAAAGGACATTTAGCCTAATGCCAAGTTTTTAACTTCGTTTGTATTTTAAATACATTATAACTGTACCCAATTCGCTTCTGACATGATAAATAAATAATTTTTTGTCATTACTGTTATTTGTGTATTTGTTTATTTATTTATATCTCAAGGTAGCTTACAAAAATGTAAAACAGATACAGAAAAAGTTCACATCTTTAAAATGTACAGATCCTTCAACACATAAGGAATGGTGATTACTTAGTTCAAAAATGAGATCAAAAGCTTTCAGATTCCTCGTTTTCACAAAGGAGGACAATAAAGAAAGCAAACCATGGATTGTTATTGTGTCTGAGCTGATCCAGTGTTTTCATAAAGTGAATTACATTAACCCACGACATGTCATTTAAAAAATGAGTCTATAGGAGAGTAGCTTGAGGTGCTCACATCTCTTCTTCTTTAGTATTCATTAGGAGGAGGATACAACCTTCTGATTTCACCTTTGAACTAACCATAGTTTACTGTTACAACTAACCTTGAAGAACTGTCGTTCTAATTTTGGTTAGTTCAACAAACCACAATCAGATTGTGATTCCGGATCTTAATTTGTTTGTTTATTAACCGTGAAGCCAGAACATACAACAATTAGTAGTTTGGATGTAGTTGGAATTGTGGTTAGTTCGAAAATTAAATCAAAAACTTCCAGATTCCTCACTTGCATGAAGATGGACAAATTTGACACTTGTTTAAACTCATTCAGGCAAAAAAACAAACTATGGCTTGTTATGAATTGTATAATTTCATCCAGGGTTTCCATAAATCAAATTATAATATAACAACAACAACAACAACAACACTTTATTTGTATTCCTCCTTATCTCCCCGAGGGGACTCAGGGCAGATTCCAGGATATACAAACACAAGGCAAACATTCAATGCCTCGAAACAATGAAACACAGATACACACAGATTTATTTATTTATTTGATGCATTTATTAACCGCCATTCTCAGCCCCTTAGGGCGACAGATAAAAGTAAAGATAAAAGTAAAGGCTTCCCCTTCATCTCTGGCTCTGGGGATTGTGCCTGTTGGAGCATGTAAAAATCAGTTGAGACTGTTAACTGGAAAATGCAAAGCACAAAGCTGATTGGTTGGACTATGCCCGGGAAGCTAGCTGAGCCTGGGAGTTTTGCCAACAATTACATGTTTAGTTTTTTTTTTCTTCTGTGCAGGAGCTTACGAAGACAGTTTGTATTTTTGCTTCTGGGCTGCTGGAAGAAGATCCTTCACATGGACACCTAAAGACCATTTTAATCTCTCTCAAAGGACACTGTGTGAATCAATGCATCTGTTCACATGACTGTATATATGTTGGTCTGCATAACAAAGAGTAAACACCTTATTCTTTACTGTGTGTCATATCTTTTCTCTAGCAAGACAGTGTGTGGATTGATAAAGACTTGAACTATGTGTGATTTTCATTCCGCCACAGTGCTCATCTCCAGTTGTAGATGAGTCGAAGAGCCTGCATTGTCCGTAGACACCTGCTAGGCCATGTGGCCAGCATGACTGCACAAAGTGCCGTTTACCTTCCTGGTATCTATTGATCTACTCACATTTGCATATTATTGAACTGCTAGGTTGGCAGGAGCTGGACTAAATTAAACTAAATTAATTCACAGAGACAGAGATTTAAATAAGAAATAACTATATTGAGAACAATACATTTCTTTTGCTTCAGCTAGCACTGAATTCCTTTATTTGGCACATTTGTATTCTGTGCCTTAACTGAGGAACTATTGACATTATGTGTACAAAGCATGAGCGAACGTCTTGCCTGAGTCACCCAGTAAGTTTGGTGCCAGAAGACAGCAATCTTCTTGGCCCAAGTCAAATATGCTACCCGTAATCACACAGGGACTCAAAACGTTCACACCATGCAATAAATAAGCAAGACAAAACATCCGTCAATGCAGCCTTATACAGTCCTAAATAAATAGGCAATTCAGTGCAACCTGAGGAAGCTCATAATTGTTCTATGTTGAGGTAAGAGAGGTTTGAACCTGTCCCAATATTGTAAGGTGCATTTTTGGATACTGCTTCTCTGGGTAATTCGGGATGGTGTTGGTTGTTTGAGACCATGGGCAAACTTTGGCCTTCCAGGTGCTTTGGACTTCCAACTTCAACTCCCACAATTCCTAACAGCCTCAGGCCCTTTCCTTTTCCCCCTCAGCCGCTTAAGCGGCTGAGGGGGGAAAGGAAGGGGCCTGAGGCTGTTAGGAATTGTGGGAGTTGTAGTCCAAAGCACCTGGAAGGCCAAAGTTTGCCCATGCCCATTCTAGACCCTAAAGAGCCAGAAACACAGTAGAGACATCAAAACTAGAAATCACTTCCAAATTTGAAACATCATGTAACACCCTTTTAAAATGTGAAGCTGCCCCAAAAGCCTGGAGGAAACACCACAAGCCTATTAATTTAATTAAAATGTGGTTTTCATGGTAAAACCTTTTCCTTATTTAATATATATTTTAATTTTGGGTATGCCTGGGTGATAGATCTTCTAAGTACAAGCTAAGCATCCCTGATCCAAAATTGCAAAAATCTGAAATTAATCCAAAATCCAAAACTGTCGCATCAGTGACTGAGATAATGACACCTTTGCTTTCTGATGGCTCATTGCACACAAGCCTTGTTTCATGTACAAAATTATTACAGAATATGGTGTATAAAATACCTCCCAAAGGCATATAAAGTGAATATGAAAAAATGAATTTCATTGGGTTGCTGTGAGTTTTCCGGGTTGTATGGCCATGTTCTAGAAGCATTCTCTCCTGACGTTTTATCCACATCTATGGCAGGCATCCTCAAAGGTTGTGAGGTCTGTTGGAAACTAGGAAAGTGGGGTTTGTATATCTATGGAATGTCCTGGGTAGGAGAAAGAACTCTTGTCTGTTGGAGGTAGGTATGAATGTTGCAACTGGCAACCTTAATTAGCAGTGAATGTCCTTGCAGCTTCAAAGCCTGGCTACTTCCTGCCTGTGGGGATCCTTTGGGAGGTGTTAGCTGGCCCTGATTGAGTCTTGTCTAGAATTCCTCTTTATTTACTCTTTATTTACTGTCCTGATTCTGCAGGTTTTTTTAAATACTAGTAGCCATATTTTGTTCATTTTCATAGTTTCCTCCTTTCTGTTAAAATTGTCCACATGCTTGTGGATATCAATGGCTTCTCTGTGTAGTCTGACAAGCTGGTTGTGAGAGTGGTCAAGCATTTCTGTGTTCTCAAATAATATGCTGTGTTCAGGTTGGTTCATCAAGTGCTCTGCTATGGCTGGTTGAATTAGTCTGCAGTGCCTTTCATGTTCCTTGATCCATGTTCAGGTGTGCTTGGTAGTCCCTATGTAGACTTGTCCACAGCTGAATGGTATATGGTAGTGTTAGAGACCCTAAATTGGGTCTTCTTAGGTCCATGCAGTCACGGGAACACGTAAGGAAGGAGACAGTCCCAAAAGAGACCAAAAAACAAGGTTTATTTTAATTTCTTCATGAAGAAGACGGACAGCCTGGTAGAATGCGCAGATGCTACCCTTCAAGTGACTGCCGTGCCCCCTTGGCTTTTGACCACCAAATATATAACCTCAAGTAAACAAGAACATTTTTTGTCATGGAGAGTACTCTCTTTCCAGCCCCTCTCCCTTGACCTTTTGATGGAAAGTACCTTTTGTACATGCAGACTCTGCACTTTACTACAACCTTTGAAGTTAACCACAACACATTCTGTGTAAGAAAGTACCTTCTTGTACCTCTACATATCACATTTTCTTCCGTATTGCTCTTTTTAAGTCAGAGAAAGGGTATGTCTCTCTTTTGCTGTTAATTTCATTTAAAGCCCCTTTCTTAGCATCCTTCATTAGACTGCTGAAGAGATGAGAGGATCCCTTTGCTCTTTCCAGACAGGAAACAGGCCCAGAAACAAAGGATTCCCTCAGGCAGGAAGTAGCCAGGCTTTGAAGCTGCAAGGCCATTAAATGCTAATCAAGGTGGCCAATTGCAACATTCACATGTGCCTCAAGCAGACAAGAGTTCTTTCTCCCACCCTGGACATTCCACACATATATAAACCCCACTTGCCAAGTTTCCAACAGACGTCACAACCTCTGAGGATGCCTGCCATAGATGCTTCTTGAACATAGCCATACAGCCCGGCAAACTCACACCAACCAAGTGATTCTGGCCATGAAAGCCTTCAACAACACAATGGACTTCATGTTTAGATTTGGGTCCCATTTCCATGATATCTCATCATGTACATACATACATAAACAAGTATTCCAAAATGCAATAATAATCAGAAACACTTCTGGTCCCAATAAATGAGGTAGATGCTCAACCTTTAGATCAATGGGGATATGTCCATCAAATCGGCAGAATGCGTGATTTATCCTGACAATAATCATTCTTTAAAATCTTTCATTTTGGTGTTGATTGTATATCACTTTGCATAGACATATTTCACGGGAGGTGCACTGTCCGTCTCATGTCACCATTATCGAAGTCCCCCATATTATCAAGGTGTTATCACCATTACTGAAGGCATATTAGAGGGACACCATTGGAAGATCACGCTTCTGACCAATGTAACTGTAACGGACTCTTTTCTTCTGGAAAATCAGAATGAGAATAAGGACCAAAACAGCCACCAAAAGCACAAGTCCAATGAGCAAAAGGGCTTTGAGGACTGAGCTTGCTTCTCCCAGCTGTAGCTTTCTGCCAAAGAAGTCTATTCCTTGTCTGTCATTATCTCCTGAAAGAGAAGGGCATTTGATGAGAAATGCATTCAGTTCCCATAGGACATGCTATTTAAAAACAATCTGGAAACATTCCAAAATAATTCACAAAGATTTATTTTATGGCTAACATGCTTTACAGGACCGGGCTGGGGCGCAGCTAGTTAGGAGCCAGCTGCATTAAATCACTACTGACTGAGAGGTCGGAGTTCGAAGCCAGCCCGGGTCGGAGTAAGCTCCCAGCCATTAATAGTCTAGCTTACTGTTGACCTATGCAGCCCCACAGACAGTTGCATCTGCCAAGTAGGAAATGTAGGAATCACTTTATGAAGAGAGGCTAATTTAATTAATTTACGACACCATAAAATCTTCCAGCAACCTGAAGAAGAATGAGGAAGTACTCCATCAAAGGACTTGGTGTCACAAGTGGACGGTGAAGCAGCAGCTCCCCCTGTGGCTGGAATCGAACATACCCTCATGAAGCTGGAAAAAGCTGGAATGTTAAATTGCCTCTGTGTCGGTCTATATATGTTGTATGTTTAAATGGCATTGAATGTTTGCCATGTATATGTGAATTGTAATCCGCCCTGAGTCCCCTGAAGGGTGAGAAGGGCGGAATATAAACACTGTAAATAAATAAATATCTAGATATACATTTTAATCCAGAACCTGTATTGTATAATTTGTTGAATGTACTGCTTTGCAAACCATCTGAATGGAGGCCAAAGACATACCTTTTCCAGCAGTCTTGCTATTGATAGTAATTGCATCGGACACTGTGGTTGCAGCTACGTGTCCTACATCATGTGAATAAAAGAAATGTGAGTATTAACAAACGATAGGTCTGTCCCTTTTGGGGATTGCAACTCCATTTGGAAAAAGTAAATACAGTATATACTCAAAGATAAGCTGAGTTTTTCAGCCCTTGTTTTGGGTGGAAAAAGCCTCCCTTGGCTTATAATGGGGTCAAGCTGGGCCATTGCTTGCAATATATAATTTATTTCTCTCTCCTCCTTTTCACCTCCCTTATCAGTGTGTTTTCTTTTCTAAATCCTCCCTCGCTTGCTTGAGAGGGAGAGAAGCCCTTGCAAGTCAGGAATATCCATTAATCTTATAAAAGCATTTCCCCCGAAATATTTATTAATCTCTCTTATAGATATATTGTCATTACCCCCTGCAAGCCTTTGCAATCCCTATGTACCTATATATTCTATCTATCTATCTATCTATCTATCTATCTATCTATCTATCTATCTATCTATCTATCTATATATTTGCAAATCCTATATACATACAGATATCTAGAGATTTCCATGTACCTGTATATCTGTACCTATATGTATACATTGTTTTTACATATGAATTTTCCCTTCACATGTTTGCAAGTCTCTGAAAATCCTATATAGATATAGTAAAGGTAAAGGTTTCCCCTGACATTAAGTCCAGTCATGTCTGACTCGGGCTTAATATCAGGCATGCTCATCTCCATTTCTAAGATGAAGAGATGAAATGCACATATATAGAGGATTTGCAAATCCTCTATATATAATGCACATATATAGAGGATTTGCAAATGTTTCAGGTGGGAAAGCACATGTGAAATTAGAATATGTAATTATAGATCTATATGTAGTTCTATATTGTTTATATAGACATTGAATGTTTGCCTGTTACTATGTTGGAAGCTGGACTGAGTCTCCATGAGGAGGGATACAAATGAAGTTAGTATTATTATTACAAAGTTATTGTTGATGCCATATTGTTTTTGTTGACCCTACTTTTCCATTTGCAGAGCTAGTTTACTGTTTTTCTTTGAAATTCGGTAAATTTTTAAAAACATTTAACCTACTGATTAATTAATGGAATTTTATTGGTATCTATTTTTATTTTGAAATGTACCAGTAGCTGCTGCATTTCCCACTCTCGGTTTATACTCGAGTCAATACGTTTTCCCAGTTTTTGTGGTAAAATCAGGTGCCTTGGCTTATATTTGGGTGGGCTTATACTTGAGCATATACGGTATACCATTTCCTAAAGCTGGGAACCATTCTCTCACAGGGTCTCCATCTTATCTCAATTCAGCCTGAGTTTAGTTCATGTTCAATAGTATGCTTCAAATCTACTACAGCTCATAAAGGCTCAATGGGAAAAAACATCCACATGTCATGAAGAAAAGTGAGGATATTACATAATACTGGAGCCAGCGTTCCGCTTCTTGCAAAAACGTGTCTCTCAGTGGCAGTATATGGCTGGATCTATACTAGATCTGATCCCCAATTATCTGCTAATCCCAGAATATCTGGCAATGTAGACTCCGTTCAAAACATATAATCTGGGATCAGGTTCTGGGATATAGGGCAGTGTATATGCATCCTAAGTCATTTTCTGTGTCTTGCAGTATAAAGATGACTCAATCCTCTATCAATGTGCCACATTTACTCATGGTTTTTCAGCCCTCTAACAATATGCGGAAAATACGAGTCACTACAGCAGATGCATCACTTTCATGATTCACTTTGGTTCCAAGTCTATTGCTCCAGACTACAGTAAGAAACAAATTGCATGATGAATAATCCTAATGAATGGACAAACAACCCTTCAAACTAATTGTAAAACATTTCCTATTGGTGCAGCCAAAAATATTAGAAATATTAATTAGGAAGGCTGTGGGTTCCTCCATCTACTGCTCATTTTTTTGTTGTTATTCATGCTATTTCTGACTTTTGGCAACCCTAAGGCAAATCTATCATGGTCTTCTGAATGGAGAGTGTATGACTCATTCATGGACGAACAGCGAATCGAACCCTGGACTTCAAAGTTGTAGGAGGAAACTTAAGTCACTAGACTTTGCAGCTCATTTACTCCCCATATGTCACAACTTGCATTTACCAACTTCTATTACCTGACTTCAAGATGGTGTAAGTTGTCTCCATCCCAGCCCGAATGTGGTCATAGACATGGCAATGGAGTAGCCATGTGCCAGGATTGAATGCTAGAAGCTCAACAGTCTGAAAAGTCCCAGGGAAAAGGTCATACACATCTCCTCTGTGCTCATGATCCATCTGTGCATATGAAAACATTGTTAAGGTTTTGCATTTCTAGTAAGTCAAAGCTAGCAAAAATAAAATAAAATAATAATAATCATGTCAGAAGCAACTTGAGAATATATTGCAAATCGCTTCTGGTGTGGGAGAATTGGCTGTCTACAGAGACATTGCCCAGGAGACACCTGGATGTGTCACCATCCTGCTGGGAAACTTCTATCATGTCCCCGCAAGCTAGAGCTGACAGACGGGAGCTCACCCTGTCTCGCGGATTCAAACTGGCAACCTTGAGGTTAGCAACCCAACCTTCAGGTCCAGCTGGCACAAGGGTTTAATCCATTGTGCCACCACGGATCATAGCTTGCAAGATGATTGCATTCTGCTTTTACAAAAATCTGGAATTTTGTGAAGTAGTAACTCCAGATTTCTGTAGCTTCTCCACATCCACACAAAAGTGAGTGTGCAAATCAAACACGTGAAGACCAGTTATGCAAAGAGATCAGGCTCACTTCTGTACACCATCTTGGAATTGTGGAAAAGAGTAAAGATGAAAGTATATTGTCTAGAAACACAAGAAGAGGAGTGTGGAAAATTGCATCATGATAAATAGTGCTTGTGAAACAGTTGCATAATATATCTAACAAGACTTCCCGAGAGTACGTTGTTCCTCCTGCCCCAATGCCCCCAGCTCTATGGAGGAAAAGAGCAGCCTGACTGGCCAAACATATTTTTTAGAATAGGAAATATACTCTTTCAGGAGTCATCCTGACTGAACAAAAGCCTCTGGGTTTGCTAAGGTTTGCTCCTGAATTATTGGAATGCCTAGCAAAATCTATATGATGCATGGCCTGTTGCAGTATATTTCTGATGAATTACTAGGATGAGTCATGACTTTTGAAAACTAGTTTTCTGGTTTTGTTTTGTTATATCCAATCCCAATATGGGCAGAGATGAATCCTCATTTCTGGCTCCATTGCTTAAATTTCTTATGGGGAATCCCTTTAATAACAGTATATTGAAATGGGATGTCACCTTTGCTATAGAGGTTCTCCTATAGCAGTGATTTTCAACCTTCCTAATGCCGTACCCCTTTAGACAGTTCCTCATGTTGTGGTGACATAAAATTATTTTCGTTGCTACTTCATAACTGATTTTGCTACTGTTATGAATCGTAATGTCAATATCTGATATGCAGGATGTATGTTTCATTCACTGGACCAAATTTGACACAAATACCCAATATGCACAAATTTGAATACTGTTGGGGTTGGAGAGGATTGATTTTGTCATTTGGGAGTTGTAGTTGCTGGGATTGATAGTTCACCTACAATCAAAGAGCATTTTGGACTCCACCAATCATGGAATTGAACCAAACTTGGCACACAGAACTCCATGACCAACAGAAAATACTGGAAGGGTTTGGTGGGCATTGACCTTGAGTTTTAGAGTTGTAGTTCACCTACATCCAGAGAGCACTGTGGACTCAAGCAACGATGGATCTGGGCCAAACTTGGCACAAATTCTCAATAAGGCCAAATGTGAACACTGGTGGAGTATGGGGAAAATAGACCTTGACATTTGGGAGTAGTGGTTGCTGGGATTTATAGTTCACCTACAATCAAAGAGTATTCTGAACCCCACCAATAATAGAATTGGGCCAAATTTCCAACACAGAACTCCTATGACCTGTTTGGGCTGAAAAATGCGGTATAGAAATAAAGCAAATAAATAAATAAATAAATGACCAGCAGAAAATACTGTGTTTTCTGATTGTTTCTGGTGACCCCTTGACACCTCCCTCATGCCCTCCCCAGGGGTCCCAACCCCCAGGTTGAGAATGCTGTCCTAAAGGCTCTCGTCTACCACAATAATTTTAGGGATGGGAAGAAATCCTACCTATGCCACACATCAAGGAAAAAAGAAAAACAATGATGAAACTCTGGTTTATTTCTGAGCATGGATGAGCCCTGATTGGATGTAGAGAAGGAAATAACTCTACATGCCACTCAACTCAGTAGCCCAACATTTATTAGGACTATTGGGCTATCTGGAGAAGCCTTCAGCATGGCTTGCAATCAGTGATTGAATTCCAATCAAGGTTGAGCCACTGATTGTATCTCTTGCCCTTTCACGATAGGGACAAGACAAACTCCCAACTGAAACCTCCGTTGAGGACCCGTTAATGCCAGAATTGGGGCCATGCCCCATTCAGCCCATAGAGATTTCCAAGGTGGGAGATCTGCCTCAGTACCCTCCACCCTTGATTTATACTGACCTTGAAGAGAAAGCTCTCTCCATGGAAATGGACAGTATGGAGGTCAAGTTCATTTCCCATTCCTATCAGGTACCAGTTGGTTATTTCCCCTTCATTCATGGTTAAGGCATGGAGATTCCCATAGATCTTCCCATTAATTGCTGAAAGAATTAAGGGAGATGTTTGCAAGGAGTGAACAGCTTTACCTATGTGTTGTTACATACTGAGAGCAAGTATGTTCAGATACAAAGAACCTTATCTATGAAATAACTGCCTAGAATACAAAGTACATCTTCTATTAATGGAAGGTATGATATTTCCACAACCACAGTTCTCTGTACCACATATTAGGCTGTTTGAGAGGATCTCCTGACCACTTAAGATCAAACTTCAAGAGCTGCAGCGGGAGGAAAGCAGCAAGAATGTTGTTTACATCAAAATCCTAAATTCAACATAATAAAATTATAATAACTTTATTTGTACCCCACCACCATCTGCCCGAAGAGACTTGGGGCGGCTAACATGGGGCCAAGCCCGAGCAATTACAATAATTCTTCAAAAGCAACACCAGAAAAGCCAAGTTTTTAAACTTTTCCTAAAGGCTACCAGGGTGGGTGCTTGCCTAATCTCCCTGGGGAGTGAGTTCCATGGCTGAGGGGCCACAACAGAGAAGGCCCTCTCCCTTGTCCCGACAAGCCACACTTGTGATGGAGGCACGAGCGAGAGGAGGACCTCCCTCAAAGATCAAAGGGATTGCGCAGGTTTGTAGGAGGAAATGCAATCACAAAGGTGGGTCCCAAACTGTTCTGGGCTTTGTAGGTGATAACCGTAAAATGAATGGAAGCCAATGGAGTTCCTTAAACAGGGAGGTTGACCTTTCCCTGTAATTCGCTCCAGTTAGTAGTCTGTTTCACAAAACAATGGCTAGAATCCTGTTGGTTAGCCCCAGCTACAGCAAATCCATTCAATTAATTCTTGAATAGCGAGTCAACAGCAAGGTAAATTCAACTGATTCAACTGATCTACTCTGCTCAGGGTTAGGTCTATATGTGCTGTCACACGCTGGGCCTGTGAAAAGGTCTGTAGACAGGATGTGTTCTGTATGCCCAAAGGGCCTCGGATTAGAGGCCCTTTGGATTTCTCTAAACAAAGTCTTTAGAAACTTGGAAAGTTTAACAAAGTTCTTTATTAGTGCTTAGGTCTTCAATAAATCAAACAAATACTTCAAGGCTTTGAATCAGCTGGTGGCTTTCTTAATCTTGTCCACAAGGGACAGGCAACTATCTTCATGAACTGTTTCTTGACCTCTACCTAGGCAATGTGTCTTAGGCTCTGCTGGCGTGGGCCCCTACACCCGGTCCAAATTGCGTTATGGCTGCCGCAAGTGGTCCTTACCAAACAGAGTCCTTTTGTAGATTTCCAAGAAGAAAGAAGGTCTTCAATTCCCAGCGAAGGCTGGCTGTAAAGCTGTGGGACTGGATTCCCCCAGCAAAAGCTATGCTTCTCTGTAGAGCTGTGGGACTGAATTCCCCCAGCAAAAGCTGTAAAAGACGAAGCTTTCTACAGGTGGAACTGATTCACGTCCTGTACGAAAGGCTTCTCTGTGTGAACTGAACTAGAGGTCCCCTTTTCCCCTCCTAAACCCAGAAAAAGGGGCGGAACTAAAGAACCTAATGATGATTGATGGGTCATTGGCCCTATAATTGCAAACCAAGGGAAGCCACCTTATTGCAAAATGCATGAAACCTTGGAATACATGCAAACACTCAATAGAAAGGAAAAGAAGTTGGAGCTCCTGGTACAGCCGTACCAGCACACTATATATTTCAAAGTAAAATTCTTCCTTTATAAGCTAAGTAACATACCATGCATATTGTTCCCTTTTATGAAGTCATCAGTAGGGCTGAATTCTTTAGGATCTTTATGCAGATATTTCTCAATGTTTTCATCCAGATACCAGGATTCGTTTTCATCGAAGATCAGGAAAAGAAGAGCAAACTCACGATTGATATCTGTCCTTAAACCCTTTCCATTTAATATTCCCTTCCTGCAAATTACAAGTGGTCCAATCAAGCCACTGCTCATATCCTGGAAAAGAGAAGAGAAAGAGCAAATCAGGAAATGAGATTTAAAATATAGGAAAGTATTCTATTCTATTTTTGAAAATATATATTTTTTTCTAATTAAGAGTATTGAACATCATTGAATTATGATAAGCTATGCTTTTAAAAAAAGGCAGTCACTGAAATTGGATATGTCATACAATCATTAGAAAAAACTGATGAATCCACGACATAGCCATACTCAGTGATTGCCATTTTTAAAAAGCATAGTTTGTCATAATTCAGTGATGATGATTATTGAATAATTGGGGGGGGGGGGGGGGAACTAAATTGAAAGTTACCTGAGATGGCCAAGAGTTCAATGTTTCCATCCTAAATATCGCGGTGTTACCTTAGATAGAACACTAAGGGCCTGTCCAGACAGGATCTTTATTGCAGTATCTACCGCAATAAAAGAGGGGCTTGTCCAGACAGCATTCTGGACAGTTCCAAATTAATTCATTACAAACCAGGAAAACCCTGGTTTGTAGAGAATTAATTTGATAATGGATTAATTCTGTGCCTTCCTGGATAAATCCAGGATAAATCCACTATTTCTGGTTCTAGACTGCAGAATACTGCAGTCCAGACAGTATTTCCACAGTTTACTGGGCTAAATAAGCCCAGTAAACTGTGGGAATACCCCCTCCCCCCAAGCCCCCAGACCCCTTAGAAAAGTAATGAATACTTACCTGGCCTCCATTGCAAGTCTCAGATGGCTCTCCCAGTGCATAGAAATGACATGCCAGGATAGCGGGGGAGGGGGGGGATTTTCCTCCCTCCCCCCATTCTCTTGGCACGTAATTTCTACGCACTCCCCTCAAGCACCCAGACCCCTTAGAAAAGTAATAAATACTTACCTGTCCTCCATTAGAAGCCTTGGCCAGCTCTCCCAGTGTGTAAATGTAGCCGGGGGAGCGGGGGGGGGGAGGAAAATCCCCCCCACTGGCCTGCCGTGTCATTTCTACGTGCTGGGAGAGCCGGCCGAAGTTTGCAATGGAGGCCAGGTAAGTTTTTATTACTTTTCTAAGGGGTCTTGGGGCTTGAGGGAGAGGGGTAGGGCCTCCAGGTGTTCTCTTAGGCTACTCCCGAGATAATGTCTACACACACAACCCAGAAAGCGCACACTTTCTGGGGTGGGTGTGGACAGCCCCCCTTGAAAATCCACGTTTTTTAAAATATGGATTCTCCTGAGATAAAGGCCTGCCTGGATCCGGCCTAACATTTAGGAAACACTGTATGAACACCAAGCACAAATAGAAGGAGCACAAGCAGCTAAATAATAGGACTTTATTCTACATAAACAGTCTAGATATCTGTCAGAAAATGGAATTGTGTTCCCACTTGAAATCAGACACATTAATCTATCTCCCCCCCCCAAGGTTTTTTGAATTGTAAAGTTTCTTCAAAGTGAGTCTTTAAAAAAATATAAGTACATATGAATCACAATCTCAAGACTTTCACTTAAGAAATGCAAAATGGAGTGACTATTATAACGGCATTTGTCCTTTCGAGATGCAAATTAACCAGAAGATATCTTTCTTCCCAAAGCTCCTTTATATAATATAGCCTTGAGTGTTCATTGAACTGCAATTCATTACATGACATAAATTCATGCAATGAGTTGAAGCTATGTCTGAAGATTTGTTTCTGATGGAATCCACGTCATGCCTCTCCTCCCCATTTCTGGTGGATAAGGCAGGTTTACGTTCAGAAAGATTTTCAAGAGTACTCCGGAAAGAACTTGAAAGCAAACAAGAACTTTCCCGAAAAGCTCAAGACAGACATGTTATTCTGTACCACTTACCTTTACAAAATCCGCTGTTGAGTAGTAAACCCAAGTGATACAATTAGGATCAGAGATATCTGGACCTGATCTGAGTGGGACATTCCACCGGTATGTGCTAATATCTCCTGGTAAATGTAGATTTTGAAAGAATGAGAAAGAGAGAGGAAACTGTAACAAAATATGTAACTGTAACAGAATTTCATGACTGAATGATGTATTTTAAATCATTATGGAAAGATAATAATAACAAATAAACTTTATTTATATCCTGCCACGATCTCCCCAAAGGGACTCAGGGCAGCTTGCACATATAACAAAGTATAAAACAAGTCACATAAAATTATAACAATGATTCCCGTCAACACACGTAGCATAAAATCCAAATAATACAATTTTAAAACAGTAGTAGATAAAACTAACTGCCATCAATTCACAAGTTGCTAAGTGTTAGCTTCATATAGGCCCATTCAACCTACCCAAGGTCAAAGGCCTGTCTGAACATCCATGTTTCCAGATTGGAATGGAAGGATTGAAGGTTGGGGGCTAATCTAATCTCTTTTGGAAGTATTTCAGAGCCGGGGGGCCACCACAGGGAAGGCCCTCTCTCTCGTCCCCAGCAACCACACTTGAGATGGTTGTGGGATTGAGAGAACGGCCTCCCCTGTCGATCTCTCCTAGAAAGAGATGCAGTCACGACGATAGGTTGGACCTAAAACATATAGAGCTTTATAGGTAATCACCTGCACCTTGAATTGAGCTTGGAAACTTGTTGGAAGCCAGTGGAGCTGCTTCAGCAGGGGCGTAATATGTTTCCTGTAGCTAGCTCCAGTGAGTAATCTGGCAGCCAACCTTTGCACTAGCTGCAGTTTCCAAACCATCTTCAAAGGTAGCCCCACATAGAGTGCATTGCAGTAGTCCATTCTGGATGCAATTAAGGCATGGACCACCATGGCCAAGTCAGGCTTTTCAAGGTATGGTAACACCTGGTGCACAACTGTGCGAAGGCCCTCCCGGCCAACACCTGAGACTCAAGCGTCAGCAGATGATACCATCTTAGAGCTGGAAGATGCTACAAGGGTCATCTAATCCAGCCCCAAAGAAATTTTTAAAGGAAATCTTTAAATAAGACTGTCCTTAATTACTTGCAAAAACGAAGGTTGGCATCCCCACTCTATACCTGGCATCGTGACACGTGCTTTACTCCCAGTTCCTCCTCCTTCTTCTACACCATGTGCTGATACTGAATAAGGCCTACTAGCTTTGTTCTTAAATATAATTAGTATTGAGTCACCGACTTCTGCATGGATCAGTGGTCCTAAGTAAAAGGACAAGAGGCAGTTATCAAGACTTACATAGTGTCAAAAATCAAGCAATAGAAAACAAGCACATAATTTCATTTCAGGTCAGTTAACTCACCCCTCAACTGTATGAGGTGTATGATTTTCAATTGCATGATTTTTCCAATGATGTACTGATAGGCAACGTAATTTTGTGTGTTTTCGTGGAAATATAATCCATTGTGTTCAATGGCGCTTACTCCCAAATTGCTGGATAACTCTTGAAATCTATTTTGCAATCTAAATTAGTATAACACAACTGTTCTGGAAGAAATTAATGAAGTTTCTGGGTAAGGCTACTTGGAAAGCAACTGCACCAATGTTAATTGGGCTTGGTATGAAGGAAATATGCCAGCTTACTCCTTTTGAACCTACTCAGACAAAATGGCAAAATTATCCTAAATTATCATGTATTTCTAGGCACAAAGATTACTGCAGGCACAGACTGCAGCCAGGAAATCAGAAGACGTTGACTTCTTGGGAAGAGAGCAATGACCAATCTCAATAAAACAGTGAAGAGTAGAGACATCACACTGGCAACAAAGACCTGCATAGTTAAAGCAAAGGTATTCCCCATAGTAACATGTGGATGTGAGAGCTGGACTATAAGGAAGGCTGAGTGAAAAAAGATAGATGCTTTTGAACAATGGTGTTGGAGGAAAATTCTGAGAGTGCCTTGGACCGCAAGAAGATCAAACAGTCCATACTCCAGGAAATAATGCTTCACTGCTCATTGGAGGGAAAGATATTAGAGGCAAAGATGAAGTACTTTGGTCACATAATGAGAAGACAGGAAAGCTTGGAGAAGACAATGCTGCTGGGGAAAATGGAAGGAAAAAGGAAGAGGGGCTGACCAAGGGCAAGATGGATGGTTGGTATCCTTGAAGTGACTGGATTGACTCTGAAGGAACTTAGGGTGATGATGGCTGTCAGGGAGCTCTGGTGTGATCTGGTTCATGAGGTCACAAAAACTTGGAAGCGACGGAATGAATATTTATTATTTATTTATTTGCTACATTTGTATACTGCCCCTCTCAGCCCGCAGGCAACTCGAATAAACAACAACATCCTAAATGCACCAGATCTCATCCGATCTTGGAAACTAAGCTGAACCAACCCTAGTTAGTACTTTGATAGGAGACCACCTATGAATGCCAGGTGCTGTAGACTAGATTTCAGAGAAAGGAACTGGAAAAAATATCTCTGAGTATTCATTGGTTAAGAAAACCCTATGATATACATAGAGTTGCCAAACGGCAACAAGTGACTTAGACAAGTGACACACACCCTGCTCAGAAGAGCTGACTTTCTCACTCTCAGTGTTCCAGAAGGCTTTCTAAGAATAAAATACACGGACATTTAATGTCGTGCTGTTTATAGGTTGCTTTGCTGATTTTTTTGTCTTTTATTTCATATTTTTCAAAGCTTTTAAATCATATATGCTTTAATTACATTTTAATATTTTTATATCTGTATACTTTCATTTTGTTATTGTTGTCATTATTATTAATTATCACCATGATCTTTATTTATATCCTGCTTTTTTCCCCATGGGGATTCAAGATGGCCAACATCTATCCTCACAAGACAGTTTAAAAAGAGCAATAGAATAATAGAGCTTGAAAAGACCTTGTGGACCATCCATTGCAACCCCCTTCCAAGAAGCAGGAAAATCGCATTCAAAGCACTCCTGACAGATGGTCTTCCAGCTCTGTTTTAAAGCCTCCAAAGAAGGAGCCTTCACCACACTCTTGGGCAGAGAGTGTCACTGCTGGACAGCTCCTACAGTTAGGAAGCTCTTCCTCACGTTCAGGTTAAATCTCCTTTCCTGTATTTTGAAGCCATTGTTCCATGTCCTAGTCTCCAGGGCAGCAGGAAACAAGCTTGCTCCTTCCTCCCTATGACTTCCCCTCACATTTTTATACATTGCCCTCAACATGTCACCTCTCAGTCTTCTCTTCTGAAGGCGAAACATGCTCAGCTCTTTAAGCCGCCCCTCATAGGGCTTGTTCTCTAGACCCTTGATCATTTTAGTCGCCCTCCTCTGGACACTTTCCAGGTTGTCAACATCTCCCTTCAATTTCACTGACCAGAATTGGACACAGCATTCCAGGTGTGGTCTCACCAAGGCAGAATAGCATGACTTCCCTGGATCTAGACATTATACTCCTATTTATGCAGGCCAAAATTCCATTGGCTTTTAAAGCTATTGCCCAGGTGGATTCCAAGATCTTTTTCATATGTCCTGCTGTTGAGCCAGATATTGTATCTTTGCATTTCATTTTTAATGTCTAAGTGGAGTATGTTGCATTTGTCACTGTTGAACTTCATTTTGTTAGTTTTGATCCATCTCTCTCCATGGAGTCCCCAGTGGTGCAGTGGGTTAAACCCCTGTGCCAGCAGGACTGAAGACTGACAGGTCGCAGGTTCAAATCTGGGGAGAGGCAGATGAGCTCCCTCTATCAGCTCCAGCTTCTCATGCGGGGACATGAGAGAAGCCTCCCACAAGGATGATAAAAACATCAATTTATCCAGGTGTCCCCTGGGCAACGTCCTTGCAAACAGCCAATTCTCTCACGCCAGAAGCAACCTGCAGTTTCTCAGGTCGCTCCTGACATGACAAAAAAAAATCCATCTCTCTAAATTGTTAAGATTGTTTGTAATTATGCTCCTGTCTCTTGGAGTATTAACTATCCCTCTCAATTTGGTGTCATCTGCAAACTTGAGGATCATGCCTTCTAATCTTTCATCTAAGCAATTAATAAAGATGTTGAACAAAATTAAGCCCAGAACTGTGTTTCAGCTCAAAGCAGGTCACAACATACTCAAGCACATCTGTAAAATCACACATTGAAACAGAGATAAAAAGCCTCAAAGCACATATTAAAACATACACATATTAAAATACCGGAAACAAAAGTTAAAACACTATGATCCCACTTTATCTCCCATAGCTACATGCCATGGAAACCCCTTCATATTGAGATAGCAAGTGGATATGCACTAACATGGAAGTAATTTTTGCTGAAGTCGGTGTTATTTATTTCTGAGTAAACATAAATAAAACTGTGCTGCAAGTGTTTTTTTAATGTTTCCAAGGAACAGGCTTTTAAAATCATTTATTGTTCACAAAACACAGTCTCACCTAGAATCTGAAGATGTTGCTCCTTTGCAGTTCTCGTTTTCTGCTCTGCGAATTCTCCGTTTTCGTACTCTCTATAAACCACCTTCTTGTACTTTGTCCCCATGAGATCTTCACCATGATTCAGATATACATGTGTGAAACTTGGAAGTTATTAGAAAATGAAGAGAATTAAAAATTTAGCAGAACAAAGGTATGAGATGCTGCGTATTTTTCGGGCTGTATGGCCAAGTTCCAGAAGCATTCTCTCCTGACATTTTGCCTGCATCTCTGACAGACATCTTCAAAGGTTGAGGGGCCAGTTTCCAGCACACCCCTCAACCCCTGAGGATGCCTGCCATAGATGTGGGTGAAATGTCAGGAAAGAATACTTCTGGAACATGGCCATACAGCCCGGAAACCTCACAGCAACCCAGTGATTCTGGTCATGAAAGCCTTCTACAACAAAAAGGTATGACAATAATTGATACTTGGCATTTAAACGCTCATAGCAATAGCTCAATACTTAATTGTTTTAGTCATGTTGAACATACAGGATGAAAGACACAAAAGATAATGGTCTCTTCAATACAACCCTGCAATACTATGCATTTTTATTCAGATGCAAATGCTCTTTAACCTGGAAACCTATCACTATTTGTTGGTACCTGTCCTCCTTGCTCATTCCCTCTGTCCAGTTCTTGTCGGGGGCATAGTCCCACTCCATCTCTTCAGCAGCAATATAATAAGTCCTCATTGTCCCATAATATTCCCCATTTGGCAACATCTTCCCGCAGGGCCTGACTTCATACAGCTGCTTCATTCCACCGGTAAAATGATCAAAGGTGGTGCAAACCACTTGGAAAGTTCCTGAAAAGAAAGTCATGATATTTTTCATCATGCTAACATGAAGGTCATTGTCACTGTTTCTGTTTTTATGCCCACATCTTCAGTTTCCAAGAATTGTCCAGAAAAATAAAACATCATGACAAGATTGCTATCTAAGACACCATGCACTACAACAGAAAAGTAAAGAGGTTTACATGGGAAGACCAAGGTGAATTGATTTGTTGAAAAAGTATGTGAATGCATTAATGTAAGATGGCAAAGTGGGAGAAGAGGGACCTTGGAGAATGAGACATTTCATCATATGCTTTCATACATTCAAGCCTAGTTCATCAGATACATGGAGTGAAGCCTCTATAGACTGATGCATGTATATGTGAAGATGCAATTGAAAACCTATCTCTTTCGGCAGGCCTACCCAGTCCATTTTAACTATGACGTTTAAATTTATTTATTTATTTATTAACATTATTTCTATCCCGCCCATTTCAGCCCAAAGGCAACTCAGGGCGGTATACACAGTCGGCACAATTCGATGCCGAAACAAAATACATACTGTAATAGATCTACCTTTTGGTCGGCTAGGCTGAAGCCTGCATGGCAGTGGCTGGCATCTTGGTAGTCAAGCAGAGCAGGAGGAGGAGTCAGGCTGACTCCTGATTGGGTGTAGCAATTGGGGGAGGAGTCAGCTTAGAGAGGGAAAATAAGCTGCCAGTTTTGACACAAAAGGGAGAAGAGTCTTAGATAGAGACAGAGAAGGGTGTGGATTTTGGAGATAGGAAGTTACAGCAGGGAACTGACAGGAGAAGAAGAGCTTTTAGTGAGCCTCTAGGTTTGGGAATAAGGTGAAGACATTAGGCTAGAGTTTTACTACGTTGAGAGGACTAGTAAAAGAGAGCTGTGTCTTATTAAACTTAAGAGAGGTTTAAAGATACCTTATAGCCCAGTGAGTTGAGGCAGACTGGAGTCTGTGCTCTAAGAGAAACTGTGTCTAAAAGGAGAACAGTTTGTTAAAGGGACTCACAGCTGTAAAAGCTATTCTGTCAGGGGAACTGTTGGTTTAAGCAACCAAGTTACTGCAATTGCATCAAGATTCTGTACCACTCATTTTCAACGAGTTGTTGTTATTCTAAAGTTAAAATAAACTCTTAGTTAACTCTTAACTGTTGTATGCCTCAATCCATTCGTTTCCCTCAGAACTCATTCTCTCAACTCATTTTAAAGTCCAGTCAGCTAGGGAGGAAGACATAGAAGACCAAGAACTCAAACCCCCTTTACCTAAATACCTTCACACCCTTTTGGTTCCTCAGGCCAGTGAATTCTGAGGTGGTGGCGGCTAATAATACCAAGAACATTCGGTCACTTGCATTTACAACATAGGGTCAGCCTTTAATTTCCCTATATCGGAGGGCGGAGGTGTGATCGTTGTGTCCACCCTGCCTCGATAAGCCTTTTAATTCCTTTATACATACATTAATAAAGCAAAAACATCAAGTGCAATTAAACATAAACGACAGTGCATAGTAAACAATTTAAAAAGAAATGATGTCCTCTCGTTCAAATCTTCATCCGTAACATTGTCTTGGCCATTCCTGGGTCAATTTCCAACTCTAGTTTGTCTGTTTACTCCGGGGTTCTGAATGCTTGCTCGAAGAGCCAAGTTTTTACTCTTTTTCGGAAAGTCAGGAGGGAGGGGGCTGATCTAATATCCCTGGGGAGGGAGTTCCACAGCCGGGGGGCCACCACAGAGAAGGCCCTGTCTCTCGTCCCCATCAGACGTGCCTGCGAAGCAGGTGGGATCGAGAGCAGAGCCTCTCCAGATGATCTTAAGTTCCTGGGCGGTTCGTAGGGAGAGCTGCGTTCAGATAGATAGACTGGGCCAGAACCATTTAGGGCTTTATAGGCTAAAGCTAGCACTTTGAATTGAGTCCGGTAGCAGACTGGCAGCCAGTGGAGCTGATTCAACAGAAGAGTTGTATGCTCCCTGAGCGCCGCTCCTGTTAGCAACCTGGCTGCCGCACGCTGGACCATTTGAAGCTTCCGGGCCATCTTATTTATTTATTTTATTTATTTATTTGACTTGTATACCGCCACTCCCAATTTGGCTCGGAGAGGTTTACAGCAGTAGATTAAAACAATACAAACAACTTTAAAATACAATAAAAACTAGAACAGACATAGTCCCAAGTTATTCAAAGGCAACCCCACATAGAGCGCGTTGCAATAATCTATACGGGATGTAACCAGAGTGTGGACATTCTATGTTTATTGTGCTTTAATTTTTGCCTCAGGAATTTCAATTTCAATTATAGGCTGAAATTATAGTTTAACGTAACAAGTACCAACAGCAGAACCTTCCAAACATTTCATGTTAGTGTCACACTTGACATGCATCACGCACAGTAATTCAGTTTTAGCAGCAAACCAGTTAAACCAACCCCTTATAAGATATATATTGGACACATAGTAAAGGTAAAGGTTTTCCCCTGACATTAAGTCCAGTCGTGTCCGACTCTGAGCATGGTGCTCATCTCCATTTCTAAGCCAAAGAGCCGTAGATACCTCCAAGGTCATGTGGCCAGCATGACTACATGGAGCACCGTTACCTTCCCGCCGGAGCAGTACCTATTGATCTACTCACATTTGCATGCTTTTGAACTGCTAGGCTGGCTGAAGCTGGGGCTAACAGCAGGAGCTCACCCTGCTCCTTGGATTCGAGTCTGTGACCTTTCGATTAGCAAGTCAAGCACTTCAGTGGTTTAACCCACTGCACCACCGGCGGCTCCATGGACTCATACATAAATTGTAATAATGAAATGTATGGGGACACAACATATCTCATAAAAACCTTTCATGTTTATTTTTAAAAATATAGGATTGATTGCTTATTTCACATGAACTCATAAGTTGGTGTGACACACCTACACACTGTGGCCAACTCACTACACAGAGTTTGGAAAACTACTTACAGTGTCTGAAAATGTTTTGGCTTTTTATAACCAGGAAATGTGTATTTAAACTAGAATTTTCAATGCGCTTAATGCCATGAGGAAAAACAGATATATCCATTCTACTCCGACAACCTACCTACTCGGTCCGGCTGCATCAGGGCTGTTGTTGAGGTGTGAGGGAACAAAGTAAGCGTATCCCTCCTTGTGCCACCCAAACGAATGGTGTTTCCTTGGAAATGGATACCATGCATGTTGGTTTCAGAACCTAACCCAATCATATGCCAGGAAACCTTGTCATCTTTGCACATCTTGAGGCCGGGCATGGTGCCATATAGGTAACCATTGACAGCTGGAAAGAAGAAGACAAAATACTTCTATGATAAGACTTTTGGATGTATAGCTGCCCCTCCACATTTGTGGTTTTGATGCTTGCAGATTTGAATGTTCATGAATTTTATTTAAAATGTTCTCTCTCCGAATCTCTAAGGACTCCAGTGTGGAACTTCCTGCAGTCATGCTGACGGACCCAAAGATTTCTAAAGAGAACACTTTCCTAGGAATCTCTCAGTCATCCAATGAGATTGTATGGGTCAGCTTCCAGCAGAAGTTGACCGCAGAGTCATGCTGGAAGACCTAGAAATTCCTAGAGAGCTGTGCTCTCAGATTTTAAAGAAGTTATTCCTTTATTCACATTCATTTCACTTATATAGGCATCTTGTGCCCCTAATACAAGTGAATGTGAAAGACTTTATGAGAGTTGAATGAAAAGTAATGCCTCCACCTTCATTACTTGGGTTTGGATGGGAATATTTTAATCAAATGCAGAAACAATCCTTAGAATGTGCTCTTTAACTACCACTATTCACTTTTCCACATATTCACCACACAATTGGATACATTTCTGCCACGATGAATAAGTTTTCTGAAGCCATCACAGAAGAAGTCGACACTCTGTTTCCTCAACCAGCGTCTCACAGTTCTCTCAACGTCTTCATCAGAAGCATAATGATGTCCCCGCAGATCTTCTTTCATTATCGGGAACAGATGGAAGTCAGATGGTGCTAAATCTGGACTGTATGGAGGATGTTCTATGGTGGTGAGATCCAGTCTCTGAAGTTTCAAGTATGTGGCCTTTCATTTCAGGCATCAGCATCCTGGGTACCCATCATGCACAGATCTTCCGATAGCCAAGGAAAGCAATAATGTGACCCACATGTTCTTGTGAAATGCCAATTATGCTTAAAATTTCTCTGAATGATATGACGATCATCCTGAAGCAATCTGTCAACCTTTTGCTTGTGAAACTCAGTGGTTGCTGTTACAGGACATCCAACTCTTTGTTTGTTACACAAGTCAGATGTTCCTACTTCAACATCTTTAAACTTTCTCACCCAATGATGCACAGCACTCACATCAACACAATCACCATAAACAGCTTGCATTCTCTGATGAATCTCCTTTTGGGTGACACCTTCAGCGACAGGTTTTAACTGTCGCTGTGTTATTGTTAATGTTTACCGCCTTTTTGTTATGAGTTTTATTTTATTGCTTTGTATTATTTGTTGTTATTGCTTTGTGATTGATGTGTTGTGGGCTCGTCCTCATGTAAGCCACACCGAGTCCCTTGGGAGATGGTAGCGGGGTATAAATAAAGTACCGGTATTATTATTATTATTATTATTATTAGAATTCAATAACTGCACGTTGCTTAAGTCGCATTGACCGACCGTCTGTGCAGGGTTCCATACTTCATACTTTAACAACACAGCCGTTCAATGCGAAAGCTTCCCACCAAAATGGAACTGTAGAGGAGGGTCTACTGAACAAGCCAGTATCTGCTGCATACCAGTACTGCCATCTGTTGAGGAGTTACGAAGGAGGAGGCATTACTTTTCATTCAACCCTCATAATTCTGTACATTCACACAAGCAGAACATTGCAAAGAAACATGCAACAGCATTGGAAGGTATTTGTTCCAGGTTCCATCCCTGTTTAGCCTCTCTTTCATTGGCATTTTCATCCCAACAGCCATCCTATGACCACTTGTCGTTGGACAATTTTGGTAATTTTCCAAAAACATATGGAATGGGTTGATGGTATGCACATGGGAAAAAACCCATGCTGTAAATTTGTCATGAGTTCAGAACATCAGTTTCAGTGAAGTTTCTATTTATCCTTCATTAGACAGTACTGTATGTGATTAATGCAATCCATTTAATGTATGCCTTGGCACCTGCGTAGAGTGAGTTGCTGCATGCCTGTGAGCGGAAATGGGAGTTCTATAACAATATATAGATATTACTCTAATTGTGCACTTACTGTTAATTTACTGCCAAATAATTAAGATGTATCATAGTAATTAAATGTAATTGTAGCAATGGAAACTTTATTTTTGACATCTCAGCAGTTATCCATGTGATATCACAACCTTCACTGCTGTCCTTTCAGAGTCTCTTTGGACAGAAACAGGGGAAAGGACTGATCACCTTTTGGAGCAGGAATAGGAATACTATGGCACACCAGATGTTCAACTGCATCTCCCAGTAGCCTTAGCCAATAGTCAGGAATGGATGTTTACAGTTCACCAACATCTGGAGGGCTGCATAGTTCCCATTACTGCATTAAAATTGGCAACCTGAAACTCTTTAAACACAGGCCTGATTTTGTGATTCTTTAGCACAGTGGTTCTCAACCTTCCTAATGCCACAATCCCATAATACAGATCCTCAGCAATTATTTTCATTGCTACTTCGTAACTGTAATTTTGCTAGTGTTATGAATCGTAATGTAAATATCTGACATGCAGGATATATTTTCATTCACTGGACCAAATTTGGCACAAATACCCGATATGCCCAAATTTGAATACTGGTGGGGTTGGGGGAAATTGATTTTGTCATTTGGGAGTTGTAGTTCTTGGGATTTATAGTTCACCTACAATCAAGAAGCAATTTTGAACTCCACCAATGATGGAATTGAACCAAACTTGGCACACAGAACTCCCATGACCAGCAGAAAATACTGGAAGGGTTTGGTGCACATTGAACTTGAGTTTTGGAGTTTCAGTTCACCTACATCCAGAGAGCACTGTGGACTCAAACAGTGATGGATCTGGACCAAATTTGTCACGGATACTCAATATACCCAAATGTGAACACTGTTGGAGTTTAGAGAAAATAGACCTTGACATTTGGGAGTTGTAGTTGCTGGAATTTATAGTTGACCTAAAATCAAAGAGCATTCTGAAACCCACCAATGATAGAATTGCGCCAGACTTCCCTCACAGAACCCCCATGACCAACAGAAAACATTGTGTTTTCTGATTATCTTTGGTGACCTCTCTGACACCCCCTCATGACCCCCCCAGGGGTCCCGACCTCCAGGTTGAGAAACACTGTTTTAGCATCACGAAATCACCTCTGAATGGGTTCATAGATATTTATTCGATAAAGACACAATGCGGATGAAAAAAGACAGAAATCAACTCATTGCAACACTTGGGAGCATGATCTGTTCCAGATGGGTGTAAGTTCATTTGTCAACTTCTATGTTTCTCTCTCTCATATGTAAACTTCTCAAACAAATTTGATAAGTTTACATATGGGAGCAGCCTTTTTTGGTCATTAGCTAAAGTGACATCGAGGTCTTCTCATTATGGAAAAAGAAAAATGTGAAACTATGAGATCTGCAGTTACATCTCCATCAAAAAACACACACACACCAAAGAACAGAAAGACATTTCTGAAGCATAAAATAATGCAAAGAGAAACTATACTGGTGACTCTATTGTCAATGGCATAATGAATCCCCTTCTGGACCTTTAAGAACTTATTCAAGGAGGGTGTGTGGGATTCAACAATTGCAATGCCTTCTTTTAAATTCAGAAATAATAATAATAATAATAATAATAATAACAACAACACTTTATTTGTACCCCGCTACCATCTCCCCAAGGGACTCAGTGCGGCTTACATGAGGCCGAGCCCACAATACAACAATACAAGCAATAATAACAACAATACAAGCAATTAAAATAAAAACATGGACAATAAAATAATGTAACATTTACAATAAAACCACATGATTAAAACTGTGGGAAGGCCAAATGTAAAATTAAAATTGGAAGTAATGCTGGAACATGGGCAAAAAAGTGATGGGGCGTTTGTGGAAAACATACAAGCAGACCTAAAAAATGTAAAGTGCTTTGAGGACAAGGTGCTATGGAATCATTATTCTGGGGAGGCACACTGGAACAACCACGTCTTCAAGCTCCTCCTAAAGACTGCCAGAGTTGGGGCCTGCCTGATGATAAAACTCATATTAAATGTGCTATTTCACCAGCCCTAACTGGAAATAGTTATTGAAATGTGAATAATGAGAATTTATGGTAGTACAAACACATTTGTGTGTATATGCGTGCCTTCAGGTGGCATGTTGACTTATGGCAACCCCATGAATTTCAAACCTACCTCATTTCAGACTCCAATAGTAATAGTGGCAGTTGAGGTCTCTCATGACAATGGGAAAGTAGATATATTCCATATTTTTATTTGAATGTTAAGGGCCTTGTCTGCAAAATGAATTCAGGACTTTGGATAGCTCCTTTAACATTCAAATAAGTCCTGAAGTGGACTCGGAGACCCACTGATAAGGGTACAGAAAAGTCTCTTCACTCTTTGGTATCCCAGTTCCTTTTCCAAAATGGGGACTTTTGCTTTGTAATATCCAAAAGCATTTAGCATCCTACTCCCTAAAAAAGCACCCAACCCTCTTCTTACCATGCATTGTGTTGGATTCTTGGAAATCTTCATCTTCTTTATTAACCTTTGAGGGGTCGCCAGCAAATGCTTCAATGTTTTTGTCAAGATAGAAACTCAGGTTCTCATCAATGATTGCAAAGAGCAAGTAGAATTCTTTGTCTATTCCTTTCTGAAAGTGAAAAAAAAGGAGAAAATAAAATACATACTAAAAAAAGGAAGCTGGAAACAGGGAAAAGTATATATTTATTTACTCTATTTGTACTCTGCCTTTCTCTACCCTGAGAGGACTCAAAGCAGCTTTACATATGGCAATCATTGGATGCCTTTGAGTAGCAAAGTTAAAATACATTAAAATTAAATCAATACACATCAGCATTGCAAGTAGCATTGCAGTAGAAATATAACAAAAACAACAACAACAATGTGGTTTTCTGGCATTGCATATTTCTGCTGCTTCTGTGATTGTTCATTTGTATTTTGATTCTGTAGTCCACTTGTCGATGGATGTCCAGAATCAGCAGCATCCACCGCGGTCCTTTTTATCCTGGACGTCAACCGAGCCAGTATAGACTTTGTTTTGGTTTGTTAAAAACATTAAAAGATGGAGAGTAAAACTGTGTGTGTGTGGGTAGATATAAAAAATAGGAGTGAAAGAAAAAAAAAGAAAAAATCTAAGAAGAGAGAAGAAGAGAGAGTAAAAGAAAGAAAAAAGGAGATATAAAAGTGGTTATAGACTATATATAGAGAGAGAGGGAGGGAGGGAGGAGGAGGAGGAGGAGGAGGTTAAAAACAAAAGTATATTTCTTGACTCCCGGGTATCTTCTTTGAGATTTCCACTTTTTCCTTCCTTCCCTCTTGTGTTTTATTCTCTCTCCCTCTCTTTTGCTTTTTCTGTCTTGATATATATTCTCTTCTTCCTCATATAAATATTTTCTTTTTATTTCATTTTAAGTATTCTGTAACTTGGTTCCAGTCAGATTATTTCCTGGGATTACCCTTATTTTTGGAGATTAGATATGTGAGTTTGTCTATATTTCTTAAGTCCTGTATTTTTGTATTGTCGAAGGCTATCATGGCTGGAATCACTGGGTTGTTGTAGGTTTTTTCGAGCTATATGGCCATGGTCTAGAGGCATTCTCTCCTGACGTTTCACCTGCATCTATGGCAAGCATCCTCAGAGGTAGTGAGGTCTGTTGGAACTAGGAAAAAGGGTTTATATATCTGTGGAATGACCAGCGTGAGACAAAGGACTCTTGTCTGCTGGAGCTAGGTGTGAATGTTTCAACTGACCACCTTGATTAGCATATAATGGCCTGACAGTGCCTAGAGCAAACTTTTGTTGAGAGGTGATTAGATGTCCTTGCTTGTTTCCTCCTGTATTTTTATCATCCAGTCTTCTTCTTCTGAGATCTCTTTCTTTTTCCAAAGTCTTGAATAGCAGATTCTTGCAGCTATACTTAGTAAGAATAACAATGTGTTTTTATCTATTTTTAGTTTGTGCATACCCAATAGAAAGATTTCTGGTTTTATGGGTATCTTTATTTCTAATATTTCCTGTATATTTTTTCTGTATTTTTTTCAATAGTTTTTCGCTTTACTGAACGAACACCACATTTGGTAATATGATCCTTCTATTTCACTGCATTTCCAGCATTTTGTATTCATATTTCTATATTTCCCTAATTTCTGTGGTGTCATATTACTTAAATTATGTTAAAACAGCATTAAAATGCTGTTTTAGGAAGCAAAACCCTGAATTTCATGAGGTCTATCCTGTTCAAGCAAAGCAGTTGTTAAATTCTTACATTTCCAGTGAGCCTAATCAATATAATATCTTGATAGCACATTCAGCATGCACGTATTCATTTGTGATGTATCCAGGCGGAAAACCATCAAGATGTGTACCTGTGAGCCATCAGGTTCCAGAGAACCCTTTTTACAGATTATTAGAGGTCCCACAAGACCGGATTGGGTGTCCATCACAGGATCAGTTGCTGAATAATATAGATACGTGAGGCAAGGAGGATCGTTGTCTGTTGGACCAACACTTTCAGGAACTCTCCATTTGTATTCAAAGATTGCTCCAGGTTTCACATGGGCTCCATGTTTTTCATATCCTGAAAAACATAAAGATGACCAAAAAACAAACTCCAGAACTGTTAGGCCAATAGAACACACATTGCTCATTATAATCATTATCATATCTGCTATTGCCAAAAGGTTGGTGGTTTGAATCTGGGGAGTGGGATGAGCTCCTGCTGTTAGGCCCAGCTTCTGCCAGCCTAGCAGTTCAAAAACATGCAAATGTGAGTAGATCGGTAGGTACCACTCTGGCGGGAAGGTAATGCTACTCAAATGCAGTCATGCTGGCCACATGAACCTAGAAGGTGTCTATGGACAACGCCTGCTCTTCGGCTTTGAAATTGAGATGAGTACCATCTCCTAGAGTCTGACACCATTAGACTTAATGTCAAAGAGAAACCTTTACCTTGCTGACTAAAATTCTTGACCATCAGTTATTTGAATTGTATCCAAGAACCCAGAAATCAATGAAGTGTCACCTAATAATGTGTCCAATTAGTAATATCAGGCATGATCATCTGCAGGCACTGGAAATCGCAGATCTATATCACACAGATCTGGAGGGCCTTTGTAGCTCTTCAAAACCCATTTTATGTAAGTCATTGTGTCCCATAAAAGTTATTGGAACAATAAATATGATAAGACAAATAAAGAGATAAGGAACAGTATTTCCAACTCACCATCCTCATAAGTGGCTCCTTCTGATGACTTGCTGAAAACTACACCATGAGGCATCATGCTGTGGTTTTTGTCTGCTTTATTAGCAAAAGTAACCAAAATTGTGTCTCCAACCTCGGCTTTGATAACCGGGCCTTGAAAACAGGGGGAGATAGATGAAGTGATTTGATCAGTGGGCACATTTAGGACAAGCTTTCTCTTTTCCTCTCTCTTGCAGCATATCTCACGGGACTATTATTAGGTTAAAAGTGTGGATAAGGAGAGCTGTGTACATTGAGCTCATTGGAGAAATGAAGTATATAAATGCGACAAGCAAACAAAAGATGCTGAGATTTTAGAAAGCCTCCTGAGTCCTTTATTTGTGTATTTAGTATATCTATCTCCTCTCCTCGTGCCTTTCTCCATTTTTTTTTACACCACTCAAAGGCTAACCTGAGGCTCTCAATGATCTTCCATCTAGGAATTCTTCAGGGTTTATCTTTCCAGCTCAGGCTGGAGACAGTCGTTTTTGAGAGACCAGAAACTGATTTCAGAGAGGCATTGTCTTCCATTTTGTATCAACATCCAGACACCTCCCATGCAAAAGCACATTAATGCTGCAAAATCACATTGCAATCCGATTTACTAGGAGTCAGAATTTATACAAAGCATTGCTTCCTAAAGGCTAAAATGGAATAAGTGTACACCGACCAAGGACTACCTCTTGTTTGTCAAATTACACACAATGTCCTGAAGAACAAAAAACTGTTGTGTTTACCTCATTTTAAGCCAAAGAGTCTCACCTAACTTCCACATGCATGCAATTCCTTCTTTTCACACAAGTCATGTCTGTATTTTTCGCCTGTTAAGGGCTGAAAAATGCGGTATAGAAATAAAGCAAATAAATAATAAATAAATAATATTGAACCATGGCAGTTAAAGTGATATTAAACTGTATTAATTCTACACTGTAGATGCTGCCTAGGTTTACCATAGCATTGTCAGAAATATTAAAAATTAACTAGGTAGTTTTAATTACAAAAATGTGAGTCAAGCACTGAAAGGGTTAAATGGATGCAATGTCTCAGCAAAAGCTGCAGTTCAATGTAAGCAGGTATGCCTGTAGATTAGTAGTGATCAGTCTGAGGTAAACCTCAGTGGGAGAAAGGTCTCAGTCTGTGAGAAGGCCTCATAGTGTGAGGTAGACCTTAGTGTGAGAGAATGTCTCAGTATGAGGAAGGCCTGGTGAGAGAAGCTTCACTGAGAGAAGCTCCAGGTTGAAGGTCTCGTGTGTAAAGCTACTGTGTGAAGCTCCTGTGTAAGTTTGGTGTAGGGGGAAGCTCTGTGAGAGTGCAGCTAGAAGCTGTTTATCTGCATGAGGAAGTGTGGAAGCAACAAAGGAAGTATAAAGAACGTTATTTGTGTTATGGAAACCTTGTTCTTGTATGTAGTGTAACCATATTATTTTACTACGAATAAAAGCCTCCAATGGAAGAGATACCATTGGTCTTTGTGTTTTTGTTCCTTTTATCATTTTCAGCTATCCGTGCTCAGTCATGCTGCTGTTAATAAGTTACTCTGCTGTACATTTATGAGGAGGGTCTTTTGTTAATAAGCACACTCGCCCAACAAGCATTGCATTGAAAGATCTACAAGTGCCTCCTTGTAGGAGGACAGCACTGGAGGTGACAACAAATGCAACAATCCATGGATAATTAAATCCTCAAATGCTTAACATACACATACAGAGGAACATCTGTATATCATTTTCTAGATTGAAGCTCATTGATTATGGGATGATCTGTTTGTTTTTATCTTTGCAAGCTTATCTTTTTGGGCACTTAACAAATTATGCTACAAAGTCACATAAAGAGTAAAACTTGGCTCTTCGAGCAAGCATTTGGAACCTCCAAATAAATAGACAAACTTGAATTGGAAAATGACCCAGGAACGACCCAAGATGATGGAATGGATAAGGACTTGAATGAGAAGATCTAGTTTTTAGTTTTTAATATTGTTATTATGCACTGTCTTATGTCTAATTGCACTATAATGGTTCTTTTTCGTTATCACTGTATGTATTTTTATGGCATCGAATTGTGCCGATTGTGTAAGCTGCTCTGAGTCGCTTTCGGGCTGATATGAGCAAGGTAGAAATAATGCAAATAAATAAATTAATTAAGTGTTTAGTGAAGCAAGAGAAGACTCAATGTTTGACCTTGTCAGCCTTACCAAGTAGGCCAAGGTGGGCTTCACCTTCAGATCTCTCCCTTTTTTGGGCAAACTTCCCATCAGTGTAGGCGACATAGTGAACTTTCCAGTACTGCCCTCCTATTCGATCCTCTCCTTGTGTGAAGAATGGTTCAGAGTCACTGTAGGATGACAAAGCATTGCCAACTATTATCAGACTGGCTACGACTTTGTAGCACACAGTTACAAAGTCACAATGTCATCAACTTTGGCACCAACAAGACAATTACACTATGTAACAAGATTTCCAGGGTTATAAATGTCATTTCCTAATTGGTTCTATCATAAAAACAGAGGAAAATTTTACCAGGACATCCTGCAGCACATTTTTGCTATAGTTTTTGCTATGTTTGAATGGATGCTGTTAAGATGGTCCAGGAACCTGTTTAGTTCTTCTTCTCCATGGCTCCAAATTGTGAAAGTGTCATCTACATATCTGTACCATTTAGTGGGCTTTTTTGTTATTTTAAAGACTGTTTAAAATGACTGTTTATTCCCTCCGTTCTCTGTAAGAATTCAGAGACTGCTGTATATGTTGTTGCTCTGTTTGACCTTTTGAACTAAAGTACTGTTACTCATTACACAAATCTGGGTGACACATTTTTATACTGCAAGGTATATTTTGGTTCAGAAACAGTGATAAAGCTTCTATTTATTTACATTTACAACCTTCCACAGATAGTTTCATATTTAAATATAATACAGTACTCACATTAATACAAGGATGAGTCGACCCAAGCGTTTTGGGTAATTTTAAGAACTAAAATGTGCAAAAATATGTGATAGGTTATGCATTACCAAAATGAACCCATCAAATACATTCATCAACTAATTTAGTATAGTGATCACCTTGGAATCCAAACACCAGATTTAGGAAAGGACAAGGTGAAATGATAGCAGCCTAAAGATGGGAACTGCAGAGTCAACGTAGATTTGAGAGAAGGCATGGGCAAACTTTGGCCCTCTGAGTGTTGGACTTCAACTCCCACTCCTACCGGCTGTTAGGAATTGTGGGAGTTGAAGTCCAACACTCAGAGGGCCAAAGTTTGCCCATACCTGCTCTAGAGGTAGGATTTGTCACATTAGGCTTGTTTTATTCAAATAAAAAAAAATACTATCCCACATTAACAACAGAAACTAATAGATTGTTCATTTAAGTTGGGATGCCCACTATGTATTGGTGGTAGTGGGGTATAGACATGAATCAGTGTCTTAACAATATCACTTCACGATTTTGTGTGATCTGAACCCCAGAATTTGAAACTGGGCTAGAATGATATCTGCTTGGACACCTACCTTCCAGTTGCATTTAAAGCTTGTCCGGTGAATTTGTCAATTCCACCAGGCCCATAATCCCAAAGGGTTTTTTCAGCAGCAATAAAATATCTTCTTTCTTGGCCACTCTGTGAAGACTCCGTAATATTTTGGTTGCAATCCTTGATCTTGAACAATCCCATCATACCAGCTATGGTGTAGAAAACACACATAAGAAGGGTTTCATTTTTTTAAAGTCTTGTGACACAAGTTGGGATTTCATACTGGGTTAATATCAAGGTCAATATGCCAAAAGTAAATCACAAGAAATGAATGAAATACGTAATCCTCTTCAAGGCAAATGGGACATTTAAATTTCCCAGGGTTTGCTTTGGATTTTGCAGAGTACTAAACCTACATACAAAGTAAACATTTTGCTGAGACCTCTGGAGGACTTCAAAAGAATATGGCAGAAGGTGTCATCAGCTGTAGGAACAATATGTCCAGCTCCCTTCTTTGCTTTCTGCCATCAACAGATTGGCCATGGAGAAATGGTTGCTGCTATACGTTGTTGAAGGCTCTCATGGCCAGAATCACTGGGTTTCTGTGAGTTTTCCAGGCTGTATGGTCATGTTCCAAAAGCATTTTCTCCTGATATTTTTCCCACTCTATGGCAGCTATCCTCAGAGGTTGTGAGGTCTGTTGGAAACTGAGCAAGTTGGATTTATATATCTGTGGAATGTCCAGTGTGGGAGAAAGAACTCCTGTCTATTGGAGGCAATCGTGAATGTTGCAATTGTCCACCTTCATTAGCATTGAAGAGCCTTGCAGCTTCAAAGCCTGGCTGCTTCCTGCCTGGGGAAATCCTTAGTTGGGAGGTATTGGCTGGCCCTGATTGTTTCCTGCCTGGAATTCCCATGTTTTTGAATGTTGTGCTTTGTTTACTGTCCTGATTTGAGGGTTTTTAAAAAAATACTGGTAGCCAGATTTTGTTCATTTTCATGGTTTCCTCCTTTCTGTTGAAATTGTCCACATGCTTGTGGATTTCAATGGCTTCTCTGTGTAGTCTGACATGGTGGTTGCTAGCGTGGTCCAGTATTTCTGTGTTCTCAAATAATATGCTGTGCCCAAGTTGGTTCATCAAGTGCTCTCCTTCAACCAGAAAAGCCAGCCACAACGGGGAATTCCTGACAGGAAACAATCACTCAATCACCCTGACTGCTGCTATGTTAGCCATATATGATTTTAGCCATTGTTTGTTTATCCTACATTGCTTTTATTTTGCAAACTTAGTCTGTCTTTTGATAGTCATACATATAGAACGGTGCTCCATGCAGTCATGCCGGCCACATGACCTTGGAGCTGTCTCTGGACAATGCCAGCTCTTCGGCTTAGAAATGGAGATGAGCAACACCCCCCAGAGTTGGACACAAATGACACAACTTAATGTCAGGGAAAAACCTTTACTTTTACTATAGAAGACTCATGCCACTTTAATTATCTTTCCTTATTACCACCCTACATAATCGTGATGTTTACAGCCTGGTGTGAGCCGGCATGGTGTAATGGTCTGAGTATTGGATATGACTCTGGAGAACAGTGTTTGAATCCCTCTTGAAAACCATTAGATGACTCTGGACAAATGACACTCTGTTAGGGCCCTTCTACACTGATAATCAAATCAGCTAATCCACATTATCTGCTTTGAACTGGATTATATGAGTCTATACTGCCATATAATCCAGTTCAAAGCAGATAATCTGGATTTTATATGGCAGTGTAGAAGGGGCCTTAGCCTCAGAGGTAGCCTCTCCCCTCTGAACAACTCTTGCCAGGAAAGATCTGTAATAGATCCACTGCAGAGTTGCCATAAGTCATAAAATATTTGAAAGCAAACAAAAACAACAACATTAGAATTCTTTACTGGGGAGTTTTGCAGCTATTGAGCAAAAGCAGTAGAACTCTTCAGCAAGGAATTCTATTGTTAAAGCTAAACAAAACAATTAGCACTGCACCTGAAAGCAGTGCTTACCAAAATAATATTTTAATAATCTGAATTTTGCAAAGTATTTTTTTCTGATGAGTGGTCATTAGAAGGCAAACCTAGTTATCATTTGTAAATCTGACAGCTCAGGCATGAAACTGCTGGAAGGAAAGTGTGCAATTATCTTCTAATTACAGTACAGAGCTGAACATCCCATGTACTTTGGACTCGAGGAGGAAAGGGAAGATCTCATAACAGATGAATGGACTCCATCAAGGAAACCACAATCCTGAGTCTACAAGATCAGAGCAGGGCTCCATACATTAATGGCAGTTAACAACCAATCTTCCCAAATTTTGCAAAATGGAATCATCTCACTTAAAAGAGATATCAAAGTGCTATAACTGTGCACTCTGAATACATTATCTGACATATAAAATGCAAATTAAAAATGCATTATCAACACTCAAAAAGCTGGGGAATTTCAGACAAG